AAATTAATATTTGATTTAAATTCAGTCTTTTATCATATAGGTATTTATATAGGTACATAGCCCATAGGTACATGTTGTATATTTTATTGAACATAATTAACAAACAACTAAATTAAATAGGTACCTTTCTAGGATTAAAAATTATTGTAGATAAGTATTTATATAGATAATTATGTACATTTTAAATTCATTGAAAATAAAGTCTTGAAAAAAAATGAAGTTCGATTGAACATTTTATGTCAACGTTTTGATGAAGAAAAATCTGCAGATATTCCGAATTTTTTAAAGCAAATAGGTCAAAATATAAGAAAGAGATCTTTTATATCTGAATAATTACACTTTTATATTTTTTAAATAATATTATAGGACATATTGTATTCAATTTTTAATTATTTTACGAGGGGTACATATCTAAATAAATACATTTTTATATTTTTTATATAATATTATAGGACATATTGTAAGGTACCTATTTAATTTAGTTGTTTGTTAATTATGTTCAATAAAATATGTAACATGTATGGGCTACCTATGGGCTATGTACCCATATAAATACCTATATGATAATGAATTTAAATCAAATATTAATTTGGAGACTTTTTTTCCGTGGGACTTTCTTACCGGGGACTTTTTTCATAATATCCATATATACATGATATAATAGTATTTATAATCAATGATAGCAATAGGCTGACTGACCGTCTTCGTTCAGAATCGTTTGGTATCATTCTATCATTGAATTCAAATTTAACACCGTCCATTTGTAGAGCAGACACAAACTTTTTTTTAAAATTATACCTTAGTAACCTTACTTTTGATTAAATATCCAGCATTGTTAAGATTTGAACTTCAAACGCTTTTAAATAAATGTGCATAGTATTTTCAATATTTTTAAATTTTCCGTTTTAACCCCCTTTACTGGGTTTAGTCGTAACACAATCATTGTCTATCACAAGTTCACAACAAACAAAAAAATTGAAAAAAATACTTAGATTGTACTACAGTAAACTGAATAGTATTTCTTACACTGTTATCAATATCAACAAGCTTGTATCACATTTACTTTACAAACAAAATAACATTTGTTAATTTATTAGGCAGTAAGAACTAAGATGTGTCTAAGCTAAACAAGTTTTCTTTCATTACTCAAAAACTACGTTTTAATTATTTATTTAATATTTTACATTCTAAGGACTGAGAAGAGCGATGAATATACTTTTTTTACGTTTTTTTTTGCTAAAGGTGTGTACAATGTGTAAATAAGTGTTCGATTCTGTACTTAATTTGTCTATTTCTGTATATTTTCCGGTAGGACAGTGAATTTAGGTAAAAAGTTGACATACTTTAATACTATAAATATTAAATTGTAATATGCATATTCAATAATATAGTGTGTATATCGTTATAATATAAAAATCAACTATACCCACGCCCTAGCAACTAATTTTACACTACAAAGATTAGATAAGAATAGAGGCGAAACGTGATTTACGTATATTATGTTGACGAAGGAGGACGAGCGTGCGTCAAACAACAAAAATAAAAAATATTTACGTACCGTTCTGCCTCCGCGACGACAGATCTTTGCAAACTGTTTGGCGCCGGCATCCGTAGTGATTAGTTGAGTGTATATTATATTAACTTAATTTGTGATGTGCGCAGTATGGGATTCAGACAATTAATATATAATAATATTATTATTTTTATAAGTCTAACCTTTGTTTAATTAGGTACGTCACTTTATATCATTGCGTAAACATACTTGAGCCACGCAATACTTGCATGACAAACAGCTAGGTAAAAGTGAATATATCTTAAGTCATATCAGGAACTATTAACTAATTTCTTAATATGTATTGTATTTATAATTAAATAAATGTGTGTCTACAACAAATATACGTACCTAAAACCTAATAAAATATAAATACAAACCAAATTTTTATGTTGGTTAAAAATTTAAAATGTATTTATATTAATTAAAATAAAAATTGTAGCAATAATAGCATTTAAACAGAATGCTTGTATTTTATTATAAGTAACCTACTGAACTACATAATAAAATGTTTGAACAAAAGCCTTATTATGCATAATACACACAAAGTCTATCACTATGGCAACAAATAAACATTCCTTCTTTTCTTCCTCTATAGTTAGTAAAATTTGAGTCATCTTACAGGGCCGTCCCTACAATTTGCGGGGCATACATTTTTTAGTGGGGCCTATACAAAAATGTAAACGTTCGTAAAGCATTTTTACCTATTACTTTTACCAGTACCTGACAAACCATCTGCGCTCAGAATTGTTTTTCTTATTCAATTATGGAATATAATTGAATTCAAGCTTAATACAATGACCCACTTGTAACCAACTGTACAGCAGAGCGACATGCACTTACCCGCTTTATGGTTTTGAGATCATACAAATTTGAGTTTTACAATTTGTCACTGGCTATTGCGTACTACTTATACAAACTGAAAAATTGTATTAATTGTATATAGATGTCTTGTTGTTGCCCTCGAGTAGCAATTTGTTTAGTACACTATATAGAAGACTATTCACTTTTATTACCATAGTCTATATTGTACAAGTATTTCATACTTCATTTTATTTAATAAATAATATAATACTGTCAAATAAAAATTCAAAAATATTTTTATAATATAATATGTAAATTGTTGTATTTAAAGAAAACTTAGGAATTCTCAAGTGTGTGAGCACAGGGCCAAAATGAGAAGTCTTATGCGTGTGGCCCCGTTCACCTAGCCCTGCATCTTAACATAATCTACAGTATGTGAGATTTTTTTTCATTTAAAAATATTTCTTATTTTTACCAGTGAATAAATTTTATATTTTGTGCATTTCTAGTTCATAAAACAAAAATCTATTTCCACCTTACAATTTAAAGTAAAAAAACATGATTAATGCTTCTAGTAACAATGACAACATTATACATTTTAAAATAATAGTTTTTATTTCCCTAAGCGTTATTAATAAGTTGTATAATACTTTTAAAAATGGCACCTAAATGTATGTTTAAATTAATTAAATAGTAATTAATTATGATCAAGATTAACGACATGTATACATGTGGTATTTTTATTTGTTACACATTAACTATAATGCATGCAAATTCATATTTTAATATATAATTTATGGAAGATTATTTTAGAAGCAAGTGGATAGGATTCCAACTCACATAATATGACTTTCTGGAGTACTTCAAAAGATTTATAATTTTGGTTGGTATTAAAATACAACGAAATTCTAACTAACGTGATACATTCAAATAATAATTAACAACTATACAAAATGTCAACACAATGTCCAGTGCATTTCCACAAAACTACAAATTACAATTGAAATTAAACTTTTTTTAAAATATTATAAGATATCAATTATCAAAATAAGAAAGTTACAGGTAGAAATTTAAACTAATAATTTATACGATAAGGTATTTTATTTAAATAAAAACTATTCAAGGTATACATACCAAATTTCAAATATTTTGAGATTTACACTTACCATCTCCCAAAATTATATTGGAGGAAATTTGCCATGTACAATTAATAATTCTAAATTGTGAACCATTATACTTTATGGAAAATAATGATACAAGAAAATCTATATTTCCATTAGATTACAAATAAAATTAGAATACAAATTATATAATCACGACTTTGTTAAAAAATCCTTTAGTTATTATTCATTAAGTTATGATTAAAAGTAAGTTATATATGGTTTGTAATTTAAATTACGATCTTATGAATATACATATTTTATAAAAAATATTGTGAAATTCTTTCTATGTCAGGGTCCATATACTTGATGCAACTTTGTTAAGCTTATTAATTTCATAGCAAAATATATGCTTTCAATCTGGAATCAGTTTTGAGGTGCTGGATGTTATATTGGTTCTATAGTGGACACAGAATACATATTGTCCAAAACAAGGTAAAAAGTCACCAGGATAAATGTTATACTATAATTTATGAATTTGGAAATATACAAATTGAAGAAGACCGATGGCCTAGTAAATTAATCATTATGACAGGGAAAAATATATTGGAAATTAAAAATACTGACAACCCATTATAAGCTGTTTAAATGCTAACCAATTTCGGATTTAGCAATGGATATAATAATTATTGTAATAAATAAATTTATAAAATAATAATAATAATAATAATAAATTAAGAACAAACAGAAATGGTTTGATTAAAATAAAAAGTCTATTGACTAATTATACCCGAGTGTTAAATCCGAATCTCGATTGCTCACAAAGACAAGAAAAAAAAAGATATACTCATCCTACTATACAACTCAAAAATGTTCATAATCTATACTTACACATTTGTTTAGAATAATTATAATTTTACAACATGATTTCTAATTTATGTGTAAAGTACAAATTAATTACTTGCAAATTTAAAATATAAATATTTTAAAACTGTAATATTTGCCTATGATTTTCATTTTTTTTTTTACTTAACTTATAAACAACAGGAAAAATGATTACAATCATGTTAAAAACTACACGTATATATATATATATATTTTTTTTTATGACGTTAGATTAGAATGTAAATATTTTTAATTATTCTATGAAATTATTTGTTAGGAATACAGATGTAAAATGTTTCCTCCAATAATATGTCGAAAAAAAAATGCCACACAGCATTTAAAAAAAACAATTGTATAATATATATAACTGAAATAATTTTTGATTTTTTTTTCTTTAAAAGATATTTATTAATCCTGTCCGTTTACTTGAAAGTATAAATAAAAAATAATAAAAATGCCAGCGTAAAAAAAAAGAACAAAAATACAGTTTAACTTTTGCTCTTAATTAGTTTTCTTACATTATCATTAAAATTGTATTACTTAGATAAGACTTGGCGATATATATATATATTTATATTAATATGTATAAGTATATAAATATTTATTATTTAATCATACCGTAAAGTAGGCTGATACCAGACACAGTTGGTGTTGTTAGCTTATAAGAAATAATCTGGTGTCCTACGGGTGACGTGTGGTTCGCCGCGTCTTGGTGCTGGATCGAATTGCAAACTGAAAACATTGCATGAATTATAAGTAATGTCAAATTTATAATATATTTTTAGTTTTTAATAGTATACTTACAATGAGTATTTTAAGCCGTCGTCTAGTTCCATAATAGCTGCTTGGTTACCACACCGATAACAATAATTAGGGGCCGAAAATATTGTTACTACATTACGATCATGACACCTACCAACAAAAAACTTTAATTAATACCCATAATTTTCAAGAATATATGCAAGTTGTACATACCAATTATAACCTTCCATCACAAGTTGATGAGCTCTGGAAACAAGTGTCAGACCATTCGAATGATTGAATGTTTCTGAAATATCTTGACCGAACGTATAACCGGCCCCTCTAGGTGATATGCCCCAACCAATACGATCATCAGGGTCTGACCATAATAGATCACACATAGGACCCTATACATAAAATAAATACATGAAAATCATAGTTCATAAAAATCAATTAAATATATTACTTCATGAGGGACTTCTTGCATACGATCTAATGCTCTAATATGATCTAGCGTGTCAATGGATGGAGACAGCCCACCGTGAAGACAGAAAATCTGTTCGTCAACAAGTGCAGTCAATGGGAGATAGTCAAACAGGTCGGTGAAAAACTTCCATACGTTCGCATTACCATACTTTCGTAAGCATTCGTCATAGAAGCCATAAACTTGTGTAATCTGTCGACTTTCATGATTACCCCTAAGAATTGTTATTCTTTCACGGTATCGTACCTTAATATATTTAATAAACAAAATATAAACTTTGTTGAGAAAAAATAATATTGATAATTTAGCTTACCTTTAATGCAACCAATAATGTAACAGTTTCAACAGAATAATAACCACGATCAACATAATCTCCCATGAACAGGTAATTTGTATCTGGGGACTTTCCACCTATTCGAAACAGTTCCATTAGGTCGTGGAACTGTCCGTGCACATCCCCGCATACTGTCACCGGACATTTTACTTCTTGTACATTAGACTCTTTAGTCAAAATTTCTTTTGCCTAAAATAAATTTCAAAGTCTCAATGATAATAATATTGTGTTAGGTAGTTTGTTGCAAGAATTACTATATATCAAGGCCGTAACTTAGGATGGGTCGCCCCTCCCCAAAATTGTTATAAGTAGAACAAGAGTTTATATATTTTGAATGAAAAAAATGATAAGTGTCCAGTATCTATATTAAAAAAATGTGGGAACACCCCACAAATTTTTTTCAGTTGTGGCTTTGGTATATATAAGTGCATAAATATTATGGAAGGTGATGTATGAAGTTTCCGGTTATGCTATTTATAATAATTGCTCTTGGATTGTATTCAAATCTTTGTTATTATTCATAAGTAGAATAAGAAGTAGACTATTTTTATAAGGGGTGAATAAAAATACAGCCACCACATAAACTATATTTAGCATGAAAATAATTTTTATTAACTTAATTTTATAATTATTTATAATTAACTTTTAATAAACATTCTATATGTATTTATAAAATAAATATAAATTAAACCTCTATAATATAAGGGACACTTGTAAGAAAATGAAATGTACAGCAAATATATTTCCCATGCGATATAAAATGTCAGTTATTGAAAGGTTTACATAAATAGACGTCTTAATGTTTAATAATGATATAAGGATGTGAACGCATATATAAATTACACACCATAATTGAAAAATAAACCACACCTATAAAATTGATATTATATACAACAAATACATGAATAGAATGTATTGATTTTTATTAGTTTATTTCACTGACTATAATTTTTTAATTAAAATAGAGACCTACTATCAAAATTAAAAACAATGAAATAAAAATCCATTGGTTTTCAGAAATTTTAAACTTGGAATATAGATTAATTATAGCTAAAAATGAAAAAATATTCTGTTTTTGAAAATTGATAATATTAATAAACGTAATTGCTAAATATTAAAATACATGTATGGATGGATGATCTTCAGAAATTAAAAAGTTTGTCCTTCATATTATAAATGTAATAAAAACTAAATTTAACTTTTTTACTTCAGAAATTTTGTATTTATGTTTTGTTAGACATTAACTCTTTAATGTTAGTTTAAATATGTGTATTACCTATATTGTATATATTACAGTTTAAAAGAAGAAAGACAAAATATTGCCTTGAGATGAATAGTACCTGAGTTGTAATTTAGCTCTATTGATTGAATCTATGTTCAATAAGAATACCTATTAATGATGAACAATTGTCTACCATTTAACATTGTACTTATGAAATGTATATCCATTTAAATAAGTATTGTCAAGAAGTATAAAAAACAATATAATAACTTAGCATAAATAAAAGTATCAAATATTATTTATTTTATTTGTTAAAATGTTACCTATATAATATTTACATTAAATTTCAAATAACTTTATGGTCATAAAGAAATCCTTCTTAAGTTAGAATTTAAGTATATCTTATATATAGATTACACAGTGTTATCTGGTTATGCGTAAAATATGGATAAATTTGTAGTCGAAAACAAAATGTAAAGAATTGAAGGGGAATTTTCAAATATCAAGTTTATATACTGAGACATATAATATTATGAACATATTTATAAAATACCTACAGATATTTCACATTTATTATTATTAATTTTTCTCTGATTAGGTACTTTAATTTTTATCTTACCATGTATTTATTACATATTAAATTCATTATACAATTATTATGGATGCATACATTCAAATATTTATGTTTTGTCATACTACTAATCTAGTGATATTTTATTAGACTTGTATAGGTACCTAAAGGAGTACAAACTAGATTAAATTAATACAATAGTAATAATATATTATAAAATATACTCCACTTGGGGTACTTCTAAACACCTATTATTATCCAAGGACCACTCCGAAGGCTTTCACATATTTATTCTAAATACAGACATATGGGTTTATAATTTCAACACTTAAATTATTTGATTGGTCATAGGTACTACTACTACAATACACGATAGGTAATTAAAACTGTAATTTATTTTTAGATAAGATTTGACCAGACATAGAAACTTTTTTTCTATTTTGGTTATATGTAAATTTTATTCCAGTCTAACAGTTTTCCGAAAGGTTTTTAGCCTAACATTTACTATATTAACTAGATCCCCAACATCTATAAAAATAAGACATTAAAGGATGGCAAAACATGTTTATATTGATAATCATTCCTTTTAGGTTTTAAAATGTATCTAATCAAATTAAATAAAAGTCGTTTCTCAGAAAATTCTCCAGTTCATTATATAGGTAAATACTAAATAAAGTAAAACCTCTCTAATCCGTCACCTTCAGGACACGAAAAAGGTCTTATTATCAGAATATACAGAACATTTTTATTTATATCGATAGGAACGATACGAGAGGTTGGAGTACTAAAGCGGACAAGCGATAAGGGAAATATTAAACTAGAACTAGCAAAATCCAAATTGTATTTTTAAATTACATAGTATTCATATTGATAATACTATGGTCGGATCAACTGAAGAGGCGGACAAGAGGGGTTCTACTGAAGGTACAAACCTGTTATTAAGAATAATAAATTTAAAGTTATTAAACTATAGAGGTAAATTTAAATATTTACAATAAGGAATACAGATTAAAACAAAATATTTAAAAAAAAAACAACAAAATGTTTGCACTTTTTTTCTTAACTACTCTTGACATAGCAAATTGAATTCTTGATAACATTTTAACTTAAAATAGATATAAATCTTAAAACAACTTTTTAACAAATGATAACAACATTTATAATGCATAAAATACCTATATTTTTACCTAATTAAATAATGAATACTTTATTTGCTATAAAGAAAGTCTTTATTATAATTTATATATCATTAGGTAGGAACCCATAAGGTGTTTTCAATATATATTTTAATACAGAGCATAAAATAATGATATTTATTATACCAATAAGCTGACCTATAATGGTATATAACAAATAATGAAATTAATATGTCATATTATGTTCTTAGTGACAAAAAACTTTCTCTCTGTGACCTATAAAAATTAATCAAACATTTGGTTTTTAAAAATTTTGAATTGGGCATTAAATATTTATCTCAATATAATATGTTAATTATTATACATAATATTGATATCTTTAACTTATTCAGTATTAAAATATTTTATGAAATATCAAATATTATAACTTTTATGCAATGTGGCTTTTAAAAAGTTGCTACATAAGAAATAGTTTAAGAGTTCAGTGGATAAACTTAAAACTAAACTACCCGTGGTATATGGTAAAGAAAAAAATAATAAGTGTGAAAAAAATTTAAAACCGATTGCAATTGCATGCATATAAAACTAAATAAAAATATTTAGTTATGTCACCAACTATACCCACTTAATATTTTAGTTAAAGTGGACTGATGGTGTACAATGTATATCAGTTGATTGATAAGTTTAAATTTTAGACATAGCCAAAAAATCAGAATAGAAACATATTTGTTTACAAGAATATAACGATATATTGTACACATAAACAAATTTAAGTATTAATTATTTTTAAATATTCCATGTTCACCAATTAACTTTAAAACTAGGTATAATTATTGATTAGGTTATGTCAATTTAGCTGAGTTTAAAACAGTTCTATTACTTACAACTTTACAAGTTGCATCTCAAAGGTAGACAAACAATAAAGAATACATTTTTAAAAATGTAATTTGATTTACTTCTTGATAATAAACTCAAGTCATTGATATTAATAATGTATGTTTATGCCAAAGTAATTACCTATAAATATAAACCATGATTTATAATTATTTTTTAGTTTATTCAACTTTGAATATTCTATTTTAACTTATTAGTCATTACTCATTACCTATTTAAAAGAATGATAAATCAAATTATGTTTGGCTAACAAGTAGTTATTATCAGCAATGTATAGGAAAAATATTTGCATAGATATAAAATATGATCAAATGAAGTAAATAACTTTAAACATGTATTAGCCTGGTTATTTTATTCCAAAAAATCTTTGCAAGTGACTTTCTAAAAAATAAATTAAAATTCATAAGACTTCCTACAAGCTATCAGGTGAAGAGCTACCAATTTTATTAATAATATCAGTAAAACACTGGCTAGTATTAATTATTAATGATGTTTTCAGATGATACTGCCAACTAGTTCATAGCCATAGACAACTGAAATAGTAACATGTACAGGACATTTGCCTATCCAATGGGTGGTGAATTTTATAACTGGAATTTCAATGTAGGTAGTACCTACAATGGGCTAGGATACAAATTAAAAACAACCACCAGGTAGAATGTTTTGGATTCAAAATTCTAAACCTAATCCAAAACACAAGGCCACGACCATAAAAGACCACCCAAACCCTAAGACATGTAATTCGGGGTTAATGCTGTTATCAGTTGTAAAATCGAACTGAAGCTCTGAGAAAGCGTGAAAAACCGAGATATACCCATAAACCGAAAACGGACATTTCCGCGGGAGCCGTGTAGATGGATGCCGGCGGCGGGCAGACCTTTTTTTTGGGGGGGAGGGGGGGAGCGCCGACAGGGCCGGGGCAGTTTGGCGGCCGGCGCGAGACTCGGCGGGGCTCGTCGGGACGAGTCCCGGTCACGTGGTCAATTTGGGCGAGGTACGAACGTCCGCAATGGCTGTGCCGGGCCGACGGTCGGAACGCGCCCGTCGGCCGATCGGCGGACAGGGTCCAAGATCGCTGACGGCCGCAGAGAACGCATAAACAATATGGCCGAACCGGGCGCGCGCGCGCGCTCGAACCCGTTTCGCGACGGCGGCGGCGGCAATGCCGTATCGGCGGGGCGCCGCCGAGATATTTACCTTGTCGCACAGGAACTTCACTTGGCTCTCGGTCAACTGTTTGCACTCGTTCAGCTGCTCAATCCATTGGTCTAGTTCCTTGAGGGACGTTTTATCGTCCATAATACGAACGTAAAACGTCGGCGAACGAAAATTAACTGATTTGTTTCTCAGGGTAACATGTAAAAATAAATTAAACGGAGTTCGCGATCGGTGTACTGCGGTCCGGACGGAAATCACAACACAAATGAAATGACAGGTCGGGCGAAGGGTGGTGGCGGTGGCGTTAGGAGGGGGCTACGATGATTATTTTTGTTTTCTTTTTTTCCCCCTTTTTTACATTTGTATCGGCCCGACTCGTCGGTGCTGCCAACGCGATAACTACGCGCAGTGTATGCAACACCATTGGACCTGACGCCCGCCGCCGCCCACGGGCCACGGCCACAGCCCGCAACGGTTTTCCCCCGTCAACAAAACAATAAATACAACCGACTGTGACCGACGAGTGTCGACCGTCCTAAATTATTAATCATTATTATAATTTATAATATTGTTTATTATAAATGTATACAATTATAATACTTATCTACGAACAACAACTATAATGTATAGATGCGTAGAATCATTGAACAGTAATTACTAATTGTATTGTACAACAACAACAACTGTAGAGTAGAGAAAATTACCGTAAACTGTAGAGCACCTGAACGCTGCTGTAGATAATGTTGACCTGCTGTAGTGTTTAGTAAATATTGCGTAGCGCACTATAGCAGTATAGCCACTAGTGAGTAGTGACTATAGTGCGTCTTTTACTCGTTCCATCATCTAACGAGTAACGACCACAGGATGACGTACTGACGTCCCACTCGTCGACCGACGTCGTTATAAATTTATAATATACTTGTAAAGTGTTATAAGTGTACCATAATGTCTTGTAACAATATAACTTGTGTCTTGTTACTCTCGTTCGTTAACCAAAACCGACGAGCGGTGACGGACGGACACTTCGCGAAGTAGAACGCGTATGGGTGATTCGAGATTTTTTGTTTGAATACAAATCAAGTAGTTCGGGGCGCCAAATCTGTCGTAGGCTTAATTGCTATCGTTATTCGTTAGTAGTTATTCGTCTCCACTTCCCTACGCTAAGTAATAGCGTTGATTCATGTTTATAATAGTAATTACTAATTATAATATATATATATGTAATTACTAATTATTATAGTAAATAGGTCAATGTTTTTTTATTGCTCTATGGTCATTGTCAACAATAAGTCGATAACGTACATATAACATTTGATATGAATACTCCATCGTTTTGTTTTACAAAAATAGATAACGAATGCTGTTGCTTTTACTTATTCTAAACTGTATGGTTTCCTGATTTATATTGACTGTCTATTTTTTAATGATTAAACTGTCTGCCAAATGCCCGATTCTTGGCACCATTTTCATGCCGATTAACTTAAATAATAAATATATTATACAAAATTGAAACGATTTTATTTTTGGTTTGTTTTGTATTTTAGTATCTTACCTATTATTTTTTATTAGTTATTAGTTTATTACATATTTGTAATACCATCGGCGCAAGGATACATTGTTTTTAATTCACGACAAGTTTTCTTTTATTCCTTGACGTTTATTTTGCGTACTTACTCACTTCGCGGTCTTGTAAGTAGTAGGTAGGTATATAAAATATAAATAAACAGGTATAGATGTCTAATTTTTAAAAATCGTCATAAAATGTACACATTTTATAGCGGAGGCTGTGAAAATGTAATACAATATTGAAATTCGCTAGACTAAACCGGTTTAAAATTATCCCATATTATCCCGCACCAGCATTAGAAGCACAACTTTTGACGAAATCGAAAATTGTAAAGGAATTACGAAGAATAACGATTTTAGTTATAATAATGAAATTCGAAAATAATCATGGAGACTTGCAACTTGTACATATATATATATATATTATTTTTTTATGTATTTATATTTTATTATACGCAATGACATTATCAAAATATTCTGTTTATTTTTAAGCTTTTGCCTATTTATACAATTATACCATGAACCTATTCACCGTTCTATGGTAAGTCTAAATTCGGCATCGACTCAAATGTCAATAACAATAATACCATATGATTAGTACTCCGTGTCTACCTATTATAATAACTAGAGAGCCTATAGGCATATTATATAGGCTCTCTAATAATAACTATCAACCATGAACTAAGTTCATGCTTAACTATAATAAAATAACAAATGATATTATGTCAAAAATTAATTTAACCTTCTATATTTCTAATAGTAAAATAAATTTCTTTAATAGCAATATAAATAGGTTGGTACCTACAACATAAATAGTAAAATATAGTTAGAAATATAGGCTGACTAACCGTGCCTGGCCTCCGCACAGAATCGCTTTTCTTATGCAATGATTTGTGGATGAATTTAAATAGATAACACATCCACGATCAACCATACCACAATACCACATACCTACTCAATGACAGGTACACTCAACATTTACTATAAGTACAGCAGTGAGCAGAGTGAGTTCCCTATTTTTTTAGAATTTTAATTAAATAACGGATTGGTGCAATTTTCTCATATTTATAAGTAATGATATTATAACTACAATAATACAATAATATTTATATATTTAAATGAATACCTAATTCATTTGAATATTGAATTATAATGTCGTATTTATCCATAGGTACCTATCAATGTTGTAGTCGGTACTTCAGACGTTTTCGGTAGGTCTCTTTTATCTGTATTATGATACCTACGTTATATTTTCATAAAATATGTACAACCTATCGACTATCACATGTGGTCCGGTTTAAGGGTGTGGCCGGGTGGGCCATGAATTGCGAGCCCACTCATATAACTATATAAGAAATGCCCACCAATGCCTGTAATGGATAATTTATACCATTATGAAGTGACCACATGACTTTTTTTTACTTATTAGTTAGGTACATCTTATCACATATATATATATAGGGCTAGGATTTATATGCAATAAAAAATTGTAAAATATGCATTTTATTCACAAAAATATGCAAAAACAATTTTTTTATTCCTATACATAGGTACCTACTTTTAATATTTTTTACATAAAAATCAGAAACTATAATTTAAACAGAACCTACCTACTAATTAATAACTATAGTTATTATTTATTTTAATTATTATCTATTTTAAGTATCTATAGCTATTATTACATTGAATATTGCTGTAATGATATAGGTACCTATTATGTTCTTTCAAATTTTGAAACACGAATAACCGGCAATTGAAGCGATGAATGGATTTATATTTTATATTGACTAAAACTTGTCGTAAGTACTAATCAAAAATAATGTATAGGTAATCCTATATTGGTCGTCTGACCAGGATAAGATTAAATAGTAAATTTACGATTACAACAATTAGACATACAACCCAATAATTACAGACGTTCATAAATCATAAGATAAATACTATTTAAATCTCATAAGATTTTTAAAAATCAAATTATGCAATTATATTAATTATTATGTTCAAAATATGCTAGAAAAAAGTTGTTTAATTTAATTCGAATTGAGAATAATCCATGTATTCCAAATTGTAGATATATCTGACTAGTAGTGACTACCAATCAACTCAAGAAAAACCATGCAAATGCATAGCAATCTTAGCCCTATACGGCTATACTGCTATACTTATATAAGTATTATTTCTTATTGGTTTTTATTCTTCATAAAAATCTTATAGCTTAAAAAAGTTTTAATACAAATTTGAAGGTCGTAACACTCGATTGTAGCCTGTAGGTATATAAATACAATTAAAATGTTTGGGAAGCTCAGAAATTAGGTCGGTCAGGGATATATAGATTATAGGTTATAATATGTACACCTATGTACAATATCAATATTACATATTTACATATTACGTATATTGGGCAGATATCAAAATCCCTTGCATGATTACTTTCCTACGACATTTATTTTTAGAATTTTAACTCGATGCCTATATAATATGGCTATATTCCTATATAGGTACTATATATAGTATATCAGTATATAATATACCTACCTGAAACAATCTGGCAGTATTCATACCAGTCTTCAGGGGTGTATGCCGTATACAAGGGATGATTGTGGAAATTAAATCTCCCATGGCCGTTTTTTTTTGTTAAATACCTATACCCTAAAGAAACTTAACAAATAATACATTTTACGAGCAAAATGGTCGGAAATTCCAAAATAGGTGTCCCTACCTAGTACCTACTCAGGGAAATACACGTGAAATAATGTTTTAGCAAAAAGCTTAACAATGTAATATTATTTTTGTTCTGACTTGTGGTTCCTATTAATAAAAAAAAAGTGTATGATAAAAAATATATTATATTTCCCATATTAGGTATATAATGTAAATATGTTATACATTTAACATTCACCTGATTCACCTATAGGACTAGAGCGACAATATATTAACTTAACATATGGTGTCCTAGTAGTGCCTAATGCCCATGTTGTAGATAGTACATAGTACATTAGTATTTAGTACCCCTGTGGCACTGTACAAGTGTACATTAATACCTATGGACTATGGTAGGTAAATTATACATAAGAGTATATGACAAGAGCTAAAAATGTATAATTTATTTCTGATGGTAGCTGGTATACATATAGGTATAGTACTAAAAATGTTATTAAATGTAATAATATTAATAGTCCATAATATTGCCCTATATATAAGGCGCCATGTAGCTATTTGATTATTAATAATTTTACTAACACAGGTGGTACCTAAAGCTAAATAATATATTAATTTTATTTAATAATTGTAAATTTAATATTATTAGGTATAAGGTATGTAACATTTGCCCCCCCACCATTTTCCCTTTGTTTTACACTGTGTTTAGCAATTTTTTTGTACTTTTTCCCCCATGCCCCCCTCCCAAAATTAAGACCTGGATCCACCACTGGTATGTAGACATACATATTATTATCGCTGTCATTGTCTCATCAATCATGAGTTATGAGCTTATGACAAATAACAAGAAATTTAAAAATGATTTTTGTTCATTATTACAGCCTAATAGTAAGTTTATTAAAGTGTTCAGTGTTAAT